CCCCCATAGACCCCATAGACCCCCTATAGGCCCCCCCCCCATCACCTCCTTCTGGTAGAGCTCAGCCTCGCGCTGGCGGCAGAAATCACAGACGGCTCCTGGGGGGGGGAGACAATGGGGCAGTTATGGGGCAGTTATGGGGCAGTTATGGGGCAATGGGGCAGTTATGGGGCAATGGGGGGCAGTTATGGGGCAATGGGGCAGTTATGGGGCAATGGGGCAGTTATGGGGCAATGGGGGGGCAGTTATGGGGCAATGGGGGGCAGTAGGGGGCAAGGGGGGGGCAATGGGCAATGGGGCAGTTATGGGGCAATGGGGGGCAGTTATGGGGTAATGGGGCAGTTATGGGGCAATGGGGCAGTTATGGGGCAATGGGGGGCAGTTATGGGGCAATGGGGGGCAGCTATGGGGCAATGGGGCAGTTATGGGGCAATGGGGGGGCAGTTATGGGGCAATGGGGGGCAGTTATGGGGCAATGGGGGGGCAGTTATGGGGCAATGGGGGGCAGTTATGGGGCAATGGGGCAGTTATGGGGCAATGGGGCAGTTATGGGGCAATGGGGGGCAGTTATGGGGTAATGGGGCAGTTATGGGGCAATGGGGGGGCAGTTATGGGGCAGTTATGGGGCAATGGGGGCAGTTTTGGGGCAATAAGCAGCAATAGGGGGAAGTTATGGGGCAATAAAGGGCAATGGGAGACAGTTATGGGGCAATGGGGGAAAATAAGGGGCAGTGGAGGGAAATAGGGGGCAAGAGGGGGCAGGTCTAGGGCAATAAGGGGCAATGGGGGCAGTTATGGGGCAATGGGGGCAAACAAGGGGCAATGGGGGGCAGGTATAGAGCAATAAGGGGCAATGGGGGGCAATGGGGAGCAATGGGGAGCAATGGGGGCAATAAGGGGCAATGGGGGCAATAGGGGCAATGGGGGGCAGCTATGGGGCGATGGGGGGCAATGGGATGGGGGGGGTGGCAGCACACAATGGACCCCAATGGGCAGCGCTCAGCGGCTCCCCCTAGCGTTGCTCTATGGCACAGCCGCAGCCGGGACGCTCCCATTGTTCCCTATGGGGGGGTTCCCCTGCCCCATCCAATGACCCCCAATGGGCAGCGCTCAGCGGCTCCCCCTAACGTTGCTCTATGGCACAGCCCCAGCCGGGACATTGCTCCCTATTGCTGGGCCGCTATAGCGTTGCTCTATGGCACAGGGGCTCCCATTGCTCCGTATGGGGGGGTTCCCCTTGTGCTCCCCAATGGGCAGCGCTCAGCGGCTCCCCCTAGCGTTGCTCTATGGCACAGCCCCAGGCGGGACGCTCCCATTGTTCCCTATGGGGGGGTTCCCCTGCGCTCCCCAATGGGCAGCGCCCCCCGGCTCCCCCTAGCGTTGCTCTATGGCACAGCCCCAGCCGGGACGCTCCCATTGCTCCCTATGGGGGGGTTCCCTTGTGCTCCCCAATGGGCAGCGCTCAGCGGCTCCCCCTAGCGTTGCTCTATGGCACAGCCGCAGCCGGGACGCTCCCATTGCTCGCTATGGGGGGGTTCCCCTTGCCCCATCCAATGACCCCCAATGGGCAGCGCTCAGCGGCTCCCCCTAGCGTTGCTCTATGGCACAGCCCCAGCCCGGACGCTCCCATTGCTCGCTATGGGGGGAACCCCGGCCCCCCCCCTCACCGTGCTGCTGTAGTACGGCCCGGCAGCCCACGCACGTGCTGCGCCGCGTGGCGAAGGCCAAGACCCCGCCCCCGACCTGCGCCGTCAGCAGCGTCTTGGAACGGGTGTGAGCGCCCCCTGCGGGACGGGCGGGGGGCACACCCCCGGGGTCAAGCCGCTCCCCAATGACTCCCCCTAGCCCCTATGGCCCCATTGGGGTATTGCTCCCTATGGGGGGGTTCCCTTGTGCCCCCAATGAGCCCCCTCCCATTGGGGTATGGCACAGCCGCAGCCCGGACCCCCATTGCTCATGGGGGGGTTCCCCCTGCCCCATCCAATGGGAGCCCCCCCCCATTGGGTTATGGCACAAGGGGGGTGTGGGGTCAATGGGGGGACGGCTCCCCCTTGGGTTATACAAGAGGGGACGCTCCCCTCCATTGGGTTATGCTGGGGAACCCCCCCAATGACCCCCCTATTGGGGTATAAACGGGTGGACCCCCCCAATGAGCCCCCCATTGGGTTATAAAGGGGGGATTCCCCCCCCATTGGGGTATAAAGGGGGGACCCCCCCAATGACCCCCCCCATTGGGTTAGAAAGGGGGGATCGCCCCCATTGGGGTCAATGGGGACCCCACAATGACCCCCCCATTGGGTTATAAAGGGGGACCCCCCCCCAATGGGGTATAAAGAGGGGACCCCCCATTGGGGTATAAATGGGACCCCCCAATGACCCCCCCCATTGGGTTATAAAGGGGGGACCCCCCTATTGGGGTCAATGGGGAGACCCCATTGGGTTATAAAGGGACCCACCCCAATGACCCCCCCATTGGGGTATAAAGGGGGGACCCCCCAATTATAAAGGGGGGAACCCCCATTGGGTTATAAAAGGGACCCCCCAATGACCCCCCCCATTGGGTTATAAAGAGGGGACCCCCAATGAGTTATAAAGGGGGGACCCCCCCAATGACCCCCCCCATTGAGTTATAAAGGGGGGAACCCCCCAATGACCCCCCCATTGGGTTATAAAGGGGACCCCCCCAATGACCCCCCCATTGGGTTATAAAGGGGACCCCCCCAATGACCCCCCCATTGGGTTATAAAGGGGACCCCCCCAATGACCCCCCCATTGGGGTATAAAGGGGGACCCCCCATTGGGTTATAAAGGGGACCCCCCCTTGGGTTCAGTGGGGGCCCCCCAATGACCCCTCCATTGGGGTCAATGGGGCCCCCCCACATTAGGTTATAAATGGGACCCCCCAGTGACCCCCCCATTGGGTTAAAATGGGATCCCCCATTGGTTATAAAGGGGGGACCCCCCCTAAGGGAGATTTGGGTGAGTTTGGGTCAGATTTGGGGTATTTTGGTTCAGATTTGGGGTATTTTGGGTCAGTTTGGGGTATTTTGGGTGTGTTTGGGTCAGTTTGGGGTATTTTCGGTCAGTTTGGGGTATTTTGGGTGAGTTTGGGGTATTTTGGGTGAGTTTGGGTCAGGTTTGGGGTATTTTGGGTCAGATTTGGGGTATTTTGGGTCAGTTTGGGTCAGATTTGGGGTATTTTGGGTCAGATTTGGGGTATTTTGGGTCCGTTTGGGTCAGATTTGGGGTATTTTGGGTGAGTTTGGGTCAGATTTGGGGTATTTTGGGTGAGTTTGGGTCAGATTTGGGGTATTTTGGGTGAGTTTGGGTCAATTTGGGGTATTTTGGGTCAGATTTGGGGTATTTTGGATCAGTTTGGGTCAGATTTGGGGTATTCTGGGTCAGTTTGGGGTGTTTTAGGTCAGTTTTGTCTGGTTTTGGTTGTTTTCGGGTGTTTTGGGGCTGGTTTTCCCTGTTTTGGGTCAGTTTTTGGTCAGTTTTTGGGTGTTTTGGGGCTGGTTTTGGTCAGTTTTGGGGTGTTTTTCGGCTGGTTTTGGTCAGGTTTGGGGTGTTTTTGTGCTGGTTTTGGGTCAGTTTGGGGTGTTTTGGGTGTTTTTGGGTCAATTTTGGTCAGTTTTGTGCTGGTTTTGGGTCAGTTTTGGGGTCAGTTTTGGGGTGTTTTTGGGTGTTTTGTGGTCAGTTTTGGGGTGTTTTGGGTGTTTTTGGTCAGTTTTGGTCAGTTTTGGGGTGTTTTGGGGTCAGTTTTGGGTGTTTTGGGGTCAGTTTTGCGTGTTTTTTGGGTATTTTTGGGGTGTTTTGGGTCAGTTTTGGGCTGGTTTTGGGTCAATTTTTGGGTGTTTTTGGCTGTTTTTGGGTCAGTTTTGGGGTGTTTTTGGCTGTTTTTGGTCAGTTTTAGGCAGTTTTGGGGTATTTTTGGGTCAGTTTTGGGTGTTTTGGTCAGTTTTTGTGCTGTTTTGGGGGTGTTTTGGTCAGTTTTGGGGGTATTTTTGGGTGTTTTTGGCTGTTTTGGGCCTGGTTTTGGCTGTTTTTAGGTGTTTTTTGCTGTTTTTGGGTGTTTTGGGGGTGTTTTTGGGGTGTTTTCGGCTGTTTTTGGGTGTTTTGGCGGTGTTTTTGGTCAGTTTTTGGGGTATTTTTGGGTGTTTTTGGCTGTTTTTTGTCAGTTTTGGGCTCTTTTTAGGTGTTTTTTGCTGTTTTTGGGTGTTTTGGGGGTGTTTTTGGGGTGTTTTTGGGGTGTTTTTGGGTGTTTTTGGGGTGTTTTTGGGTGTTTTTGGTCAGTTTTTTGCTGTTTTTGGGTGTTTTTGGCTGTTTTTGGTCAGTTTTTGGCTGTTTTCGGGTGTTTTGGCTGGTTTTGGTCAGTTTTTTGCTGTTTTTGGGTGTTTTTGGCTGTTTTTGGTCAGTTTTTGGCTGTTTTCGGGTGTTTTGGCTGGTTTTGGTCAGTTTTTGGGTGTTTTCGGCTGGTTTTGGCTGTTTTTGGGGTGGTTTTGGCTGTTTTTGGGGTGTTTTTGGCTGTTTTGGGGGTGTTTTTGCGTGTTTTTGGGTGTTTTTTTGCTGTTTTTGTGCTGTTTTGGGGTCGTTTTGGGTCAGTTTGGGGGTGTTTTGGGGTCAGTTTTGGGTATTTTTGGGTCAGTTTTTGGGTGTTTTTGGTCAGTTTTAGGCTGTTTTTGGTTGTTTTGGGGGTCTTTTTGGCTGTTTTTGGTTGTTTTGGTCAGTTCTGGGGTGTTTTTTTGTGTTTTGGGGTCAGTTTTGGGGTGTTTTTGGTCAGTTTTAGGCTGTTTTGGGGTGTTTTTGGCTGTTTTTGGGTGTTTTTGGCTGTTTTTGGTCAGTTTTTTGCTGTTTTTGGGTGTTTTTGGCTGTTTTTGGTCAGTTTTTGGCTGTTTTGGGGTGTTTTTGGGTCAGTTTTGGGGTGTTTTGGGTGTTTTTGGGGGTGTTTTTGGGGTGTTTTTGGGTGTTTTGGGGTGTTTGGGTGTTTTTGGGTGTTTTTGGGTGTTTTGGGGGTGTTTTTGTCTGTTTTTGGGTTGTTTTTGGCTGGTTTTGGCTGTTTTTGGGTGTTTTGGGGTGTTTTTGTCAGTTTTGGGGTGGTTTTGGGTGTTTTTGGGTGTTTTTGGGGTGTTTTTGGGTGTTTTTGGGGTGTTTTTGGGTGTTTTTGAGTGTTTTTGGCTGTTTTTGGGTGTTTTTGGGTCAGTTTTTGTCCCCCTCTCACGGAGCAGGACGCTCTCGGCGCGGCCCTCGCCCAGGATGGGCTCGAAGATCCTGAGCAGCGGCTTCCCCAGCTGCTGCTCCAGGTAATAGCGGCTGTCGATGGGCAGGTTGTGCTCCAGCGCGTACAGCGGGTCCTGCGCCCCACACAGACCCACAGAGACCCATAGGGACCCAGTGAGACCCATAGGGACCCATAGGGACCCATAGCGACCCATGGAGACCCATTGGGACCCATTGAGACCCATAGGGACACATAGAGACCCATAGAGACCCATGGAGACCCATAGGGACCCATTGAGACCCATTGGAAACCATTGAGAACCATTGAGAACCATTGAGAACCATTGAGACCCATTGAGAACCATTGGGACCCATTGGGAACCATTGAGACCCATTGAGACCCATTGAGACCCATTGGGAACCATTGGGACCCATTGAGACCCATTGAGACCCATTGGGAACCATTGAGACCCATTGGGACCCATTGGGAACCATTGGGAACCATTGAGACTCATTGGGACCCATGGACCCACTGAGCCCCACATCCCCACCAAGCCCCACTCAGTCCCACTCAGCCCCACTAAGCCCCACTGAGCCCCATGGAGACACCGAGCCCCACTGAGCCCCATGGCACCCACTGAGCCCCACTGAGCCCCACATCCCCACTGAGCCCCATGGAGCCACTGAACCCCACTGAGCCCCATGGAGCCACCGAGCCCCACTGAGCCCCACATCCCCACTGAGCCCCATGGACCCATTGAGCCCCACTGAGCCCCACTGAGCCCTATGGACCCACTGAGCCCTATGGGACCCACTGAGCCCCACATGGCTATGGGACCCACTGAGCCCTATGGGACCCACTGAGCCCCACTGAGCCCCATGGCACCACTGAGCCCTATGGGACCCACTGAGCCCCATGGGACCCACTGAGCCCCACTGAGCCCCATGGACCCAGTGAGCCCTATGGGACCCACTGAGCCCCATGGACCCACTGAGCCCTATGGGACCCACTGAGCCCCACTGAGCCCCATGGGACCCACTGAGCCCTATGGGACCCACTGAGCCCCACTGAGCCCCATGGACCCATTGAGCCCTATGGGACCCACTGAGCCCCACTGAGCCTCATGGGACCCACTGAGCCCTATGGGACCCACTGAGCCCCACTGAGCCCCATGGACCCATTGAGCCCTATGGGACCCACTGAGCTCCATGGCACCCACTGAGCCCCATGGGACCCGCTCCCCCCCATTGAGTCCCATGGGACCCATTGAGCCCCACTGAGCCCCATGGGCACCCACTCCCCATTGATCCCCATGGGTCCCGCTCCCCATTGATCCCCATGGGCACCCGCTCCCCATTGCCCCCCTATGGTCCCGACCCATTGAGCCCCATGGGACCCATTGATCCCCATGGGTCCCGCTCCCCATTGATGGACCCCCCTCTGGATCCCGCTCCCCATTGATCCCTATGGGTCCCGCTCCCCATTGCCCCCCATGGGTCCCGCTCCCCATTGCCCCCCATGGGTCCCGCTCCCCATTGATCCCTATGGGTCCCGCTCCCCATTGATCCCCATGGGACCCGCTCCCCATTGATCCCCATGGGTCCCGCTCCCCATTGATCCCCATGGGTCCCGCTCCCCATTGCCCCATGGGTCCCGCTCCCCATTGATCCCTATGGGGGCTCCCCATTGAGCCCCATGCTCCCCATTGATCCCTATGGGACCCGCTCCCCATTGATCCCCATGGGTCCCGCTCCCCATTGATCCCTATGGGACCCGCTCCCCATTGATCCCCATGGGTCCCGCTCCCCATTGATCCCTATGGGTCCCGCTCCCCATTGATCCCCATGGGTCACGCTCCCCATTGATCCCCATGGGACCCGCTCCCCATTGAGCCCTATGGGTCCCGCTCCCCATTGATCCCCATGGACCCACTGATCCCTATGGGTCCCGCCCATTGATCCCCATGGGGGACCCACTGCCCCCCATGGGTCCCGCACCCCATTGCCCCCTATGGGTCCCACTCCCCATTGATCCCTATGGGTCCCGCTCCCCATTGATCCCCATGGGTCCCGCTCCCCAGTGCCCCCTAAGCGACCCGCACCCCATTGATCCCCATGGGTCCCGCTCCCCATTGATCCCTATGGGTCCCGCTCCCCATTGATCCCTATGGGTCCCGCTCCCCATTGCCCCCCATGGGTCCCGCTCCCCATTGATCCCCATGGGTCCCGCTCCCCATTGATCCCTATGGGTCCCGCTCCCCATTGATCCCTATGGGTCCCGCTCCCCATTGCCCCCCATGGGTCCCGCTCCCCATTGATCCCTATGGGTCCCGCTCCCCATTGATCCCTATGGGTCCCGCTCCCCATTGCCCCCCATGGGTCCCGCTCCCCATTGATCCCTATGGGTCCCGCTCCCCATTGATCCCTATGGGTCCCGCTCCCCATTGATCCCCATGGGTCCCGCTCCCCATTGCCCCCCATGGGTCCCGCTCCCCATTGATCCCTATGGGACCCGCTCCCCATTGCCCCCCATGGGTCCCGCTCCCCATTGATCCCTATGGGTCCCGCTCCCCATTGATCCCCATGGGTCCCGCTCCCCATTGCCCCCCATGGGTCCCGCTCCCCATTGCCCCCTATGGGTCCCGCTCCCCATTGATCCCTATGGGTCCCGCTCCCCATTGCCCCCCATGGGTCCCGCTCCCCATTGATCCCTATGGGTCCCGCTCCCCATTGATCCCCATGGGTCCCGCTCCCCATTGATCCCTATGGGTCCCGCTCCCCATTGATCCCTATGGGTCCCGCTCCCCATTGATCCCTATGGGTCCCGCTCCCCATTGATCCCCATGGGTCCCGCTCCCCATTGCCCCCTATGGGACCCGCTCCCCATTGATCCCCATGGGTCCCGCTCCCCATTGATCCCCATGGGTCCCGCTCCCCATTGCCCCCCATGGGTCCCGCTCCCCATTGATCCCTATGGGTCCCGCTCCCCATTGATCCCTATGGGTCCCGCTCCCCATTGATCCCTATGGGTCCCGCTCCCCATTGATCCCCATGGGTCCCGCTCCCCATTGATCCCCATGGGTCCCGCTCCCCATTGATCCCTATGGGTCCCGCTCCCCATTGATCCCTATGGGTCCCGCTCCCCATTGCCCCCCATGGGACCCGCTCCCCATTGCCCCCCATGGGACCCGCTCCCCATTGCCCCCCATGGGTCCCGCTCCCCATTGCCCCCCATGGGTCCCGCTCTCCATTGATCCCTATGGGTCCCGCTCCCCATTGATCCCCATGGGACCCGCTCCCCATTGATCCCTATGGGTCCCGCTCCCCATTGCTCCCTATGGGTCCCGCTCCCCATTGCCCCCCATGGGACCCGCTCCCCATTGATCCCTATGGGACCCGCTCCCCATTGATCCCTATGGGTCCCGCTCCCCATTGATCCCTATGGGTCCCGCTGCCCATTGCCCCCCATGGGTCCCGCTCCCCATTGATCCCTATGGGTCCCGCTCCCCACTGCCCCCCATGGGTCCCGCTCCCCATTGATCCCTATGGGTCCCGCTCCCCATTGATCCCTATGGGTCCCGCTCCCCATTGATCCCCATGGGTCCCGCTCCCCATTGATCCCTATGGGTCCCGCTCCCCATTGCCCCCTATGGGTCCCGCTCCCCATTGCCCCCCATGGGTCCCGCTCCCCATTGCCCCCTATGGGTCCCGCTCCCCATTGCCCCCTATGGGTCCCGCTCCCCATTGATCCCTATGGGTCCCGCTCCCCATTGATCCCTATGGGTCCCGCTCCCCATTGATCCCTATGGGACCCGCTCCCCATTGATCCCTATGGGTCCCGCTCCCCATTGATCCCTATGGGACCCACCTCGGACCTGGTGTAGGCGGCCGCCCCCTTGGCCCCGGTGACGATGACGTAGGGGACGCGGTCCCCCAGGGCCGGGGCGCTGCCGGGGTCCCGCTGCCGCATCCTGGGGGGCAATGGGGGGCAATGGGGGGCAGCTGTGGGGCAGCTGTGGGGGGGTTATGGGGGGCTATGGGGGGTGTCAATGGGGATGGCAATGGGGCTATGGGGGGCAGCTATGGGGGGGCTATGGGGGGTGTCTATAGGGGGTATCAATGGGGCAATGGGGGGCAGCTGTGGGGCAGCTGTGGGGGGGCTATGGGGGGGTGTCAATGGGGGGGCAGCTGTGGGGGGCTATGGGGGGTGTCAATGGGGATGGCAATGGGGCAATGGGGGGCAATGGGGGGCAGCTGTGGGGCAGCTGTGGGGGGCTATGGGGGGTTATAGGGGGTGTCAATGGGGGGCAGCTGTGGGGCAGCTATGGGGGGCTATGGGGGGGCTATGGGGGGTGTCAATGGGGATGGCAATGGGGCAATGGGGGGCAGCTATAATGGCACTATAGGGGGTGTCAATGGGGTGTCCATGGATGCCTATGGGGTGTCTATGGGGGTCTCTATGGGGTGACTATGGGGTCTCTATGGGGTCTCTATGGGGTGTCTATGGGGTGTCCATGGGGTCTCTATGGGGTCTCTATGGGGTGCCTATGGGTGCCTATGGGGTCCCTATGGGGTCTCTATGGGGTCCCTATGGGTGTCCATGGGGTCCCTATGGGGTCCCTATGGGGTCCCTATGGGGTCTCTATGGGGTCCCTATGGGTGTCTATGGGGTCCCTATGGGGTCCCTATGGGGTGCCCATGGGTCCCTATGGGGTGTCCATGGGGTCTCTATGGGGTCCCTATGGGGTGTCCATTGGTGTCTATGGGGTGCCCATGGGTCCCTATGGGGTGCCCATGGGTCCCTATGGGGTGTCCATGGGGTCTCTATGGGGTCCCTATGGGGTCTCTATGGGTGTCCATGGGGTGCCTATGGGGTCCCTATGGGTGCCTATGGGGTGTCCATGGGTTTCTATGGGGTCCCTATGGGGTGCCTATGGGGTCCCTATGGGGTTTCTATGGGGTCTCTATGGGGTCTCTATGGGGTGTCCATGGGTTTCTATGGGGTCCCTATGGGGTTTCTATGGGGTGCCTATGGGTCCCTATGGGGTTTCTATGGGTCCCTATGGGTCCCTATGGGGTTTCTATGGGTCCCTATGGGTCCCTATGGGTCCCTATGGGGCGCCCACCTCTGGGCCAGGCTGACGTGGGGCTGGGGGGCGGCGTAGTCGCGTGCGGCGCGGGTCAGCTCCTTGGTGATCACGAGCTGGGAGAGGTCCAGGCGGTCACAGAGCAGGTCCGAGATCACCTCCTGCGCGTGCAGCACCGCGCCCGCGGGGTCCCTGCCCCATAGAGAGCATCGGTGACCCATAGAGCATCAGTGACCCACAGAGCATCACTGACCCATAGAGCATCACTGACCCACAGCAACCCACAGCAAGCATCACTGACCCATAGAGCATCACTGACCCATAGAGACCCTCCTGCGCGTGCAGCACCGCGCCCGCCGGGTCCCTGCCCCATAGAGAGCATCGGTGACCCATAGAGAGCATCGGTGACCCATAGCGACCCATAGCGACCCATAGCGAGCATCAGTGACCCACAGAGCATCACTGACCCATAGCGACCCACAGAGCATCACTGACCCATAGAGCATCACTGACCCATAGCGACCCATAGCAACCCACAGATCACCTCCTGCGCCTGCAGCACCGCGCCCGCCGGGTCCCTGCCCCATAGAGAGCATCACTGAGCCACAGCGACCCATAGCGACCCACAGAGCATCACTGACCCATAGAGCATCACTGACCCACAGATCACCTCCTGCGCGTGCAGCACCGCGCCCGCGGGGTCCCTGCCCCACAGCGACCCATAGAGAGCATCACTGACCCACAGCAACCCATAGAGCATCACTGACCCATAGCGACCCACAGCGACCCATAGAGAGCATCAGTGACCCACAGAGCATCACTGACCCATAGAGACCCTCCTGCGCGTGCAGCACCGCGCCCGCGGGGTCCCTGCCCCATAGCGACCCATAGAGCATCAGTGACCCATAGAGAGCATCACTGACCCATAGAGCATCACTGACCCATAGCGACCCATAGAGCATCACTGACCCATAGAGCATCACTGACCCACAGAGCATCACTGACCCATAGAGCATCACTGACCCATAGCGACCCACAGATCACCTCCTGCGCGTGCAGCACCGCGCCCGCGGGGTCCCTGCCCCATAGCGACCCATAGAGCATCAGTGACCCATAGAGAGCATCACTGACCCATAGAGCATCACTGACCCATAGCGACCCATAGAGCATCACTGACCCATAGAGCATCACTGACCCACAGAGCATCACTGACCCATAGAGCATCACTGACCCATAGCGACCCACAGATCACCTCCTGCGCGTGCAGCACCGCGCCCGCGGGGTCCCTGCCCCATAGAGAGCATCACTGACCCATAGCGACCCATAGAGCATCACTGACCCATAGAGCATCACTGACCCATAGCGACCCATAGCGACCCATAGAGCATCACTGACCCACAGAGCATCACTGACCCATAGAGCATCACTGACCCATAGCGACCCATAGAGCATCACTGACCCATAGAGCATCACTGACCCACAGATCACCTCCTGCGCGTGCAGCACCGCGCCCGCGGGGTCCCTGCCCCATAGAGAGCATCACTGACCCATAGAGCATCACTGACCCATAGCGACCCATAGCAAACATCACTGACCCACAGCGACCCACAGAGCATCACTGACCCACAGCGACCCTCCTGCGCGTGCAGCACCGCGCCCGCGGGATCCCTGCCCCATAGAGAGCATCACTGACCCATAGCGACCCACAGCGACCCATAGAGCATCAGTGACCCATAGAGAGCATCACTGACCCACAGCGAGCATCACTGACCCATAGCGACCCACAGAGCATCACTGACCCACAGCGACCCACAGAGCATCACTGACCCATAGCGACCCATAGCGACCCACAGATCACCTCCTGCGCGTGCAGCACCGCGCCCGCGGGGTCCCTGCCCCACAGCGACCCATAGCGAGCACCAGTGACCCATAGCGACCCACAGCAAACATCACTGACCCATAGAGCATCACTGACCCATAGAGCATCACTGACCCACAGATCACCTCCTGCGCGTGCAGCACCGCGCCCGCGGGGTCCCTGCCCCATAGAGAGCATCACTGACCCATAGCGACCCATAGCGACCCACAGCGACCCATAGAGAGCATCGGTGACCCATAGCGAGCATCACTGACCCATAGAGCATCACTGACCCATAGCGACCCATAGAGAGCATCACTGACCCATAGCGACCCATAGCAAACATCACTGACCCACAGAGCATCACTGAGCCGTAGCGACCCACAGAGCATCAGTGACCCACAGAGACCCTCCTGCGCGTGCAGCACCGCGCCCGCCGGGTCCCTGCCCCATAGAGAGCATCGGTGACCCATAGCGACCCATAGAGAGCATCACTGACCCATAGAGCATCACTGACCCATAGAGCATCACTGACCCACAGATCACCTCCTGCGCGTGCAGCACCGCGCCCGCGGGGTCCCTGCCCCATAGAGAGCATCGGTGACCCATAGAGAGCATCACTGACCCACAGCAAACATCACTGACCCATAGAGCATCACTGACCCATAGAGCATCACTGACCCACAGATCACCTCCTGCGCGTGCAGCACCGCGCCCGCGGGGTCCCTGCCCCACAGCGACCCATAGAGAGCATCAGTGACCCATAGAGCATCACTGACCCATAGAGCATCACTGACCCATAGAGCATCACTGACCCATAGAGCATCACTGACCCATAGAGCATCAGTGACCCACAGAGCATCACTGACCCATAGAGCATCACTGACCCATAGAGCATCAGTGACCCACAGAGCATCACTGACCCATAGAGCATCACTGACCCATAGAGCATCAGTGACCCACAGAGCATCACTGACCCACAGAGCATCACTGACCCATAGAGCATCACTGACCCACAGAGCATCACTGACCCATAGAGCATCACTGACCCACAGATCACCTCCTGCGCGTGCAGCACCGCGCCCGCGGGGTCCCTGCCCCACAGCGACCCATAGAGAGCATCGGTGACCCATAGCGACCCACAGAGCATCACTGACCCATAGAGAGCATCGGTGACCCATAGCGACCCATAGCGACCCACAGATCACCTCCTGCGCGTGCAGCACCGCGCCCGCGGGGTCCCTGCCCCATAGAGAGCATCACTGACCCATAGCGACCCACAGAGCATCACTGACCCATAGAGAGCATCGGTGACCCATAGCAACCCACAGCGACCCATAGAGAGCATCAGTGACCCATAGCGACCCATATTAAACATCACTGACCCACAGAGCATCACTGACCCATAGAGCATCACTGACCCACAGATCACCTCCTGCGCGTGCAGCACCGCGCCCGCGGGGTCCCTGCCCCACAGCGACCCATAGAGAGCATCGGTGACCCATAGCGACCCACAGAGCATCACTGACCCATAGAGAGCATCGGTGACCCATAGCGACCCATAGCGACCCACAGATCACCTCCTGCGCGTGCAGCACCGCGCCCGCGGGGTCCCTGCCCCATAGAGAGCATCACTGACCCATAGCGACCCATAGAGCATCACTGACCCACAGATCACCTCCTGCGCGTGCAGCACCGCACCCGCCGGGTCCCTGCCCCATAGAGAGCATCGGTGACCCACAGCGACCCACAGAGCATCACTGACCCATAGCGACCCATAGAGCATCACTGACCCACAGAGACCCTCCTGCGCGTGCAGCACCGCGCCCGCGGGGTCCCTGCCCCATAGAGAGCATCACTGACCCATAGCGACCCATAGAGCATCACTGACCCATAGAGCATCACTGACCCATAGCGACCCATAGCGACCCATAGAGCATCACTGACCCACAGAGCATCACTGACCCATAGAGCATCACTGACCCACAGCAACCCTCCTGCGCGTGCAGCACCGCGCCCGCCGGGTCCCTGCCCCACAGCGACCCATAGAGAGCATCACTGACCCACAGATCACCTCCTGCGCGTGCAGCACCGCGCCCGCGGGGTCCCTGCCCCACAGCGACCCATAGAGAGCATCAGTGACCCATAGCAACCCATAGAGCATCACTGACCCACAGAGCATCACTGACCCACAGATCACCTCCTGCGCGTGCAGCACCGCGCCCGCGGGGTCCCTGCCCCACAGCGACCCATAGCAAACATCACTGACCCATAGCGACCCATAGCAAACATCACTGACCCATAGAGCATCACTGACCCATAGAGCATCACTGACCCATAGAGACCCTCCTGCGCGTGCAGCACCGCGCCCGCGGGGTCCCTGCCCCATAGAGAGCATCACTGACCCATAGCGACCCACAGAGCATCACTGACCCACAGCGACCCATAGAGCATCACTGACCCACAGATCACCTCCTGCGCGTGCAGCACCGCGCCCGCGGGGTCCCTGCCCCATAGAGAGCATCACTGACCCATAGCGACCCATAGCAAACATCACTGACCCACAGAGCATCACTGACCCATAGCGACCCATAGCGACCCACAGATCACCTCCTGTGCGTGCAGCACCGCGCCCGCGGGGTCCCTGCCCCATAGAGAGCATCACTGACCCATAGCGACCCACAGAGCATCACTGACCCATAGCGACCCATAGAGAGCATCGGTGACCCATAGCGACCCATAGAGAGCATCGGTGACCCATAGCGACCCACAGAGACCCTCCTGCGCGTGCAGCACCGCGCCCGCGGGGTCCCTGCCCCACAGCGACCCATAGAGCATCAGTGACCCATAGCGACCCACAGCAAACATCACTGACCCATAGAGCATCACTGACCCACAGCAAACATCACTGACCCATAGAGACCCTCCTGCGCGTGCAGCACCGCGCCCGCCGGGTCCCTGCCCCACAGCGACCCACAGCGAGCATCAGTGACCCACAGCGCCCCATAGCGCCCCACAGCCCCCCATGGCCCTCACCGGTGCAGCAGGATGCGGCGCAGACACGCCGTGACGAGCCTGGCCGCCAGGGGGCAGTTGTCCCTGCGCACCGCCTCCAGCCCCCCATCTCCCCACACCGCCCCATAGCGCCCCATAGCGCGCCCCATAGCGCCCCATAGCGCCCCATAGCGCCCCACAGCGCCCCATCCCGCCCCATAGCGCCCCATAGCGCCCTCACCGGTGCAGCAGGATGCGGCGCAGACACGCCGTGACGAGCCTGGCCGCCAGGGGGCAGTTGTCCCTGCGCACCGCCACACCGCCCCCCATCTCCCCACCCCGCCCCATAGCGCCCCATAGCGCCCCATCCCGCCCCATAGCGCCCCATAGCGCCCCATCCCGCCCCATAGCGCCCCATAGCGCCCCATAGCGCGCCCCATAGCGCGCCCCATAGCGCCCCATAGCGCCCCATAGCGCCCTCACCGGTGCAGCAGGATGCGGCGCAGACACGCCGTGACGAGCCTGGCCGCCAGGGGGCAGTTGTCCCTGCGCACCGCCTCCAGCCCCCCATCTCCCCACAGCGCCCCATAGCGCCCCATAGCGCCCCATAGCGCGCCCCATAGTGCCCCATAGCGCCCCATAGCGCCCCACAGCGCCCCATAGCGCCCCATAGCGCCCCATAGCGCCCTCACCGGTGCAGCAGGATGCGGCGCAGACACGCCGTGACGAGCCTGGCCGCCAGGGGGCAGTTGTCCCTGCGCACCGCCTCCAGCCCCCCATCTCCCCACAGCGCCCCATAGCGCCCCATAGCGCCCCATAGCGCCCCATAGCGCCCTCACCGGTGCAGCAGGATGCGGCGCAGACACGCCGTGACGAGCCTGGCCGCCAGGGGGCAGTTGTCCCTGCGCACCGCCTCCAGCCCCCCATCTCCCCACACCGCCCCATAGCGCCCCATAGCGCCCCACAGCGCCCCATAGCGCCCCATAGCGCGCCCCACCCCGCCCCATAGCGCCCCATAGCGCCCCCCACAGCGCCCCACAGCGCCCCACAGCGCCCCATAGCGCCCCATAGCGCGCCCCATAGCCCCCCATAGCGCCCCATAGCGCCCTCACCGGTGCAGCAGGATGCGGCGCAGACACGCCGTGACGAGCCTGGCCGCCAGGGGGCAGTTGTCCCTGCGCACCGCCTCCAGCCCCCCATCTCCCCACACCGCACCCCATAGCGCCCCATAGCGCCCCACAGCGCCCCATCCCGCCCCATAGCGCACCCCACAGCGCCCCATAGCGCCCCATAGCGCCCTCACCGGTGCAGCAGGATGCGGCGCAGACACGCCGTGACGAGCCTGGCCGCCAGGGGGCAGTTGTCCCTGCGCACCGCCACACTGCCCCCCACCCCGCCCCATAGCGCCCCATAGCGAGCCCCATAGCGCCCCATAGCGCCCCATAGTGAGCCCCATAGCGCCCCATAGTGCCCCATAGCGCCCCATAGCGCCCCACCCCGCCCCATAGCGCGCCCCACAGCACCCCATAGCGCCCCACAGCGCCCCATAGCGCCCCATAGCGCCCCATAGCGCCCTCACCGGTGCAGCAGGATGCGGCGCAGACACGCCGTGACGAGCCTGGCCGCCAGGGGGCAGTTGTCCCTGCGCACCGCCTCCAGCCCCCCATCTCCCCACACCGCCCCATAGCGCCCCATAGCGTGCCCCACAGCGCCCCATAGCGCCCCATAGCGCCCCATAGTGCCCCATAGCGCGCACCATAGCGCCCCATAGCGCCCCATAGCGCCCCATAGCGCGCACCATAGCGCCCCACAGCGCCCCACAGCGCCCCATAGCGCCCCATAGTGCGCCCCATAGCGCCCCATAGCGCCCCACAGCGCCCCATAGCGCCCCATAGCGCCCTCACCGGTGCAGCAGGATGCGGCGCAGACACGCCGTGACGAGCCTGGCCGCCAGGGGGCAGTTGTCCCTGCGCACCGCCTCCAGCCCCCCATCTCCCCACCCCGCCCCATAGCGCCCCATAGCGCACCCCATAGCGCCCCATAGCGCGCCCCATAGCGCCCCATAGCGCCCCACAGCGCCCCATAGCGCGCCCCATAGCGCCCCATAGCGCCCTCACCGGTGCAGCAGGATGCGGCGCAGACACGCCGTGACGAGCCTGGCCGCCAGGGGGCAGTTGTCCCTGCGCACCGCCTCCAGCCCCCCATCTCCCCACACCGCCCCATAGCGCCCCATAGCGCCCCATCCCGCCCCATAGCGCCCCACACCGCCCCATAGCGCCCCATAGCACCCCATAGCGCCCCACAGCGCCCCATAGCGCCCCATAGCGCCCCACAGCGCCCCATAGCGCCCCATAGCGCCCTCACCGGTGCAGCAGGATGCGGCGCAGACACGCCGTGACGAGCCTGGCCGCCAGGGGGCAGTTGTCCCTGCGCACCGCCTCCAGCCCCTTGCAGTCCAGCGCGGGCGCCGCCGTGGGGCACGACGGGAAACAGAGCCCGGCGTAGCGCTTCTTGCTGATGAGCAGGTAGGGGCAGTACACCTGGGACCCATAGAGAGACCCATAGCGGGACCCATAGAGACACATAGAGACCCATAGGGACCCATAGAGACCCACAGAGACCCATAGAGACACATAGAGACACATAGAGAGACCCATAGGGACCCATAGAGACACATAGAGACACATAGGGACACATAGGGACCCATAGAGACCCATAGAGGGACATAGAGACCCATAGAGACCCATAGAGACACATAGAGACCCATAGAAACCCATAGAGACCCATAGAGACCCATAGAGACCCATAGAGACCCATAGAAACCCATAGAGACACATAGAGACCCATAGAGACCCATAGCGACTCATAGCAACCATAGCCCCCATAATGCCCCATAGCCCCCATAGCGCCCCATAGCTCCCCCAGCCCCATAGCACCCCATAGCGCCCCCAGCCCCATAGCACCCCATACCCCCCCAGCCCCATAGCACCCATACCTCCCATAGCGCCCCATTGCCCCCCCAGCCCCATAGCGCCCCATATCCCCCAGCCCCATAGCACCCATACCTCCCATAGCGCCCCATTGCCCCCCCAGCCCCATAGCGCCCCATATCCCCCAGCCCCATAGAGCCCCATGGGACCCAGCCCCATAGAGCCCCATAGTGCCCCCAGCCCCATAGCGCCCCATAGCACCCCATAGCACCCCATAGCGCCCCCCAGCCCCATAGCACCCCCCAGCCCCATAGCACCCCCCAACCCCATAGCACCTCCCCAGCCCCATAGCACCCCCCAACCCCATAGCACCCCCAGCCCCATAGCGCCCCAGCCCCCCCCCAGCCCCATAGCACCCCCAGCCCCATAGCGCCCCATAGCCCCCCAGCCCCATAACACCCCATAGCCCCCCCAGCCCCATAGCGCCCCCAGCCCCATAGCGTCCCATAGCGCCCCATAGCCCCCCAGCCCCATAGCGCCCCATACTCCCCCCAGCCCCATAGCTCCCCATAGCGCCCCCAGCCCCATAGCGCCCCATAGCGCCCCCAGCCCCATAGCGCCCCCAGCCCCATAGCGCCCCATAGCGCCCCATAGCGCCCCCAGCCCCATACCCCCCCAGCCCCATAGCGCCCCCAGCCCCATAGCGCCCCATAGCCCCATACCCCCCCAGCCCCCCCCCAGCCCCATAGCACCCCATAGCCGCCCCATAGCGCCCCATAGCGCCCCATTACTGCCCTCCCCAGCCCCATAGCACCCCATAGCGCCCCCAGCCCCATAGCGCCCCCAGCCCATAGCGCCCCATAGCGCCCCCAGCCCCATAGCGCCCCATAGCGCCCCATAGGCCCCCCAGCCCCATAGCGCCCCCCCATAGCGCCCCATAGCGCCCCATAGCCCCCCAGCCCCATAACCCCATAGAGCCCCATAGCCCCCATAGCACCCCTTAGCGCCCCATTGCGCCCCCAGCCCCATAGCGCCCCCAGCCCCATAGCGCCCCATAGCGCCCCATAGCGCCCCATAGCGCCCCCCAGCTCCGTGCTGACCTTCTCGAACTGGAGCTGGATGGGGGCGGGGAAGTGCTCGGACACCCAGGCCGCCACCTCGCGCCCCATGGCCATGGCCTCGGGCACCGTGGGCACCCCCAGGCGGCACATGACCGAGTCCGTGTCCCCATAGATCACCTGGGGGGCAGAGACCCATAGGGACCCATAGGGACACATAGGGACCCATAGGGACCCATAGGGACCCATAGGGACACATAGGGATACATAGGGACCCATAGGGACATGACCGAGTCCGTGTCCCCATAGATCACCTGGGGGGCAGAGACCCATAGGAACCCATAGAGACCCATAGGGATACATAGGGACCCATAGAGACCCATAGGGACCCATAGAGACCCATAGAGACCCATAGGGACCCATAGGGACCCATAGGGACATGACCGAGTCCGTGTCCCCATAGATCACCTGGGGGGCAGAGAGACCCATAGGGACACATAGAGACCCATAGGGACCCATAGAGACCCATAGGGACCCATAGGGACCCATAGAGACCCATAGGGACACATAGGGACCCATAGGGACCCATAGGGATACACAGGGACCCATAGGGATACACAGGGACCTATAGGGACATGACCGAGTCCGTGTCCCCATAGATCACCTGGGGGGCAGAGACCCATAGGGACCCATAGGGACACATAGGGACACATAGGGATACACAGGGACCCATAGGGACCCATAGGGACATGACCGAGTCCGTGTCCCCATAGATCACCTGGGGGGCAGAGACCCATAGGGACCCATAGGGACACATAGAGACCCATAGGGACCCATAGGGACCCATAGGGATACATAGGGACATGACAGAGTCCATGTCCCACATAGCCCCCCATAGCCCCCCTATAGCCCCCCACAGGCCACCCCATAGCCCCCCATAGCTCACCCCATAGCCCACCCCATAGCCCCCCCATAGCCCCCCATAGCCTGCCCCATAGCCCCCCGGAGCCCGCCCCATAGCCTGCCCCATAGCCCTCCCCATAGCCCACCCCATAACCCCCATAGACCACCCCATAGCCCCCACAGCCCGCCCCATAGCCCGCCCCATAGCCCACCCCATAGCCCCCCATAGCCCACCCCATAGCCCCCATAGCCCGCCCCATAGCCCGCCCCACAGCCCTCCCCATAGCCTCCCCATAGCCCCCCATAGCCCACCCCATAGCCCCCATCCCCAATGCCCACCCCATAGCCCCCCATGTGACCCCCCACCCCTGCCCCCCCCCATAGCCCACCCCCCCCAGCATCCATATGCCATGGGACCATAGCATGGCCCCATAGGCCCACGATGCTGGTGCTGAGCCCCATAGCCCCAGCATCCCCAATGGGAACAGAGCAGGATGTGACCCCTATCTCTTCACTGCTGCTCCCACCCCATAGCCCCACTGTCCCCAATGGGAACAGAGCAGGATGTGACCCCTATCTCTTCACTGCTCCTCCCACCCCATAGCCCACCCCATAGCCCCAGCATCCCCAATGGGACCAGAGCAGGATGTGACCCCTATCTCTTCGCTGCTGCTCCCACCCCATAGCCCACCCCATAGCCCCATTGTCCCCAATGGGAATGGTGCAGGATAGCCCACCCCTTCAGCCTGCCCCACAGCCCCCATAGCCACCCCATAGCCCCCCCACAGCCCCCATAGCCCAGCAGGATGTGCCCCCATAGCCCGCCCCATAGCCCACCCCATAGCCCCACTGTCCCCAATGGGCCCGGCAGGATGGGACCTGTGCATGGCCTGCATCTTGAGGCCCTCCCCATAGCCCTGAGCCCCATAGCCCCATTGTCCCCCCCATAGCAGGATGTGACCCCATCTCTTGCCTCCCCCCTTAGCCCCCCATAGCCCACCCCACAGCCCGCCCCATAGCCCACCCCATAGCCCCCCATAACCCCCCCCACAGGCCCCACCTTGGCATCGGCCGGGAAGCCCTGGGCCAGGCAGTACCGGGCCTCCACCAGCTGCTTCGTGCGCTCGATCATCTGGCGCCCGAAGGCCGTCACGCTCTGGGGAGAGCGCTGCTATGGGGCGCGATGGGGCGCTATGGGTGCTATGTGTGCTATGGGGTCCATGGGGGGCTATGGGCGCTATGGGGGCTATGGGGCTATGGGGCGCTATGGGGTGCTATGGGGCTATGGGGCGCTATGGGGGCTATGGGGGCTATGGGGCGCTATGGGGCGCTATGGGGGCTATGGGGGCTATGGGGGCTATGGGTGCTGGGGGGGGTATGGGTGCTATGGGGGGGCTATGGGTGCTATGGGGGCTATGGGGGCTATGGGGGCTATGGGGTGCTATGGGTGCTATGGGGCACTATGGGGCTCTATGGGTGCTATGGGGCACTATGGGGGCTATGGGTCTCTATGGGTGCTATGGGTCTCTATGTGTCTCTATGTGTCTCTATGTGTCTCTATGTGTCTCTATGGGTCTCTATGGGTCTCTATGGTCCCTATGGGTCCCTATGGTCGCTATGGGTCCCGCTATGTGTCGCTGTGGGTCAGGCCTCACCTGGCTGACCTCCAGGCACGGCAGCCGCCCCGCCTGCGCCCCGGTGAAGCCGTACACGGAGTTGGCGCTGACCTTGAGCGCCCCCTGGCGGCCCTGCAGCACCTGGCACCGCGCCGCGTCCTGCTCCTGCGCCAGCGCCTGCTTCACCCTGCGGCGCCAGAGAGACCCATAGAGAGACATAGGGACCCATAGGGACCCATAGGGACACATAGGGACACATAGGGACCCATAGGGACCCATAGAGACACATAGAGACCCATAGGGACCCATAGGGACCCATAGGGACACATAGGGACCCATAGGGACCCATAGGGACACATAGACCCATAGAGACCACATAGAGACACATAGGGACCCATAGAGACACATAGAGACACATAGAGACACATAGAGACACATAGAGACACATAGAGACACATAGAGACACATAGAGACACATAGAGACACATAGAGACACATAGAGACCCATAGGGACCCATAGAGACCCATAGAGACACATAGAGACACATAGAGACACATAGAGACCATTGAGACCCATAGAGACACATAGAGACACATAGAGACCCATAGGGACACATAGAGACACATAGAGACACATAGAGACACATAGAGACCCATAGAGACCCATAGAGACACATAGAGACACATAGAGACACATAGAGACCATTGAGACCCATAGAGACACATAGAGACACATAGAGACCCATAGAGACACATAGAGACACATAGAGACACATAGAGACACATAGAGACCCATAGAGACCCATAGAGACACATAGAGACACATGGAGACACATAGAGAGACATGGAGACACATAGAGAGACATGGGGACCCATAGAGACACATAGAGAGACATGGGGACCCATAGAGACACATAGAGACCCATAGAGACACATAGAGACACATAGGGACACATAGAGACACATAGAGACACATAGGGACACATAGACACATAGAGACACATAGAGACACATAGGGACACATAGAGACCCATAGAGACCCATAGAGACCCATAGAGACACATAGAGACCCATAGAGACCCATAGAGACCCATAGAGACACATAGAGACACATAGAGACACATAGAGACACATGGAGACACATAGAGAGACATGGGGACCCATAGAGACACATAGAGACCCATAGAGACACATAGAGACACATAGAGACACATAGAGACCATAGAGCCCCATAGAAACCCATAGACCCCATAGAGCCCCATAGAAACCCATAGACCCCATAGAGCCCCATAGAAACCCATAGACCCCATAGAGCCCCACAGAGCCCCATAGACCCCATAGAGCCCCACAGAGCCCCATAGACCCCATAGAGCCCCATAGAGACCAATAGAAACCCACAGAGCCCCATAGACCCCATAAAAGCCACAGACCCCATAGAGCCTCACAGACCCCACTGAGCCCCATAGAGCCCCATAGACCCCACAGAGCCCCATAGACCCCATAGCACCCCATAGAACCCCAGAGCCCCATAGAGACCCCACAGAGACCCCACAGAGCCCCATAGACCCCCACAGACCCCCATAGAGACCCCATAGAGCCCCATAGACCCCATAGCCCCCCATAGAGCCCCACAGACCCCCATAGAGCCCCATAGACCCCACAGAGCCCCATAGACCCCATAGACCCCACAGACCCCATAGAGCCCCATAGAGCCCCATAGACCCCATAGCGCCCCATAGAGCCCCATAGACCCCACAGAGCCCCATAGAGCCCCATAGACCCCATAGACCCCACAGACCCCACAGACCCCATAGACCCCATAGAGCCC